GGTGTTCCTCACCTTTTTCCTGGCCTTGTTAATTAATTGTATTAAGTTATATACGGGTTTTAGTTATCAAGGTGGGGGTTTTTTATGCTATGAGGGACATGCAGGTTTCTGGTGACTTGCCTTGAAAGCAATGACTGCTGATACCTGGTCAGATGCTTGCGTGGGTTTTTCTCTTTCAGCAAACTGCATTTGTGACAACATCTATTGGATCTCGTTCCCCCACCCCCACTTTTTCTTTTAAGCTGTTTGCTGTTGGATGGCTTATAGAGCTTTGCCACTGTCAGAAGGGTCTGTGGTGTGGATTAACTGCTTGTTCAGCTGCAAGTAGCCTCAAATTCTGGACCTATGCAAGGGTATCTTTGAGCAGTGAGTGTAGGGTGTGCTGGTATAGTAGGAGGAAAGCACAGGGGTTGTATCTGGTACAAGGAAAGCATGGTCAAAATAAATATTTTTATTTTCTGCCATAGATCAAAGAGTTTTGAAAAAATAAGAATATAAAATGTAAAGAGTTTGGCATCTTTTCTAGCCAACTTCCAAAGGTCCAGTCAATGTATCCCCCAGAGATGCTGGGATCATGCCAGCAGGACATTGCAGAAACACATTTACTGAGCCTCAGGTCATAGTCCAAGATCCACTTGTTTGTCCATAGTCACAGAAAAAAAAATAAAAATTCCCACCACCCAAGTGGAAAACTTGTTGGGCTGTAGCTTTCTAAGAAGGGGGAAATGGATCTTCTGACATCTTTGAGCAAAACAGGTTCACCTGTTGGCTCTGCTGTTTTCATGCTTTCTAGGTACTGGCAGTCAAACCTCTTAAATCCTTTTTAGAGGATCTGTGCAGGCAGTGCTGCAGTGGTGTCGTAGATAATGTAGGGCTGCTGGGCCAGTGGAGGATTTGTTGAAGGAAGGACAGTCAGTGTATTGGGGTACACTTCTCCTCTCCTTTAGACCGAGGGGATCCTTGGTGCATCTCCACTAGTACCAATTTAGAGCTGGGGATTTTGTCTGCTTGGTGGAAAAGATACGAATTCAATTATTTTCTGTCTCTTTCTGATGACTCCTGTCACAGGAGAACTTACGACCTCACTGTGTCCTATCAGCTGTCCCTCTAGCAGCAAGTTACAGTGCTGTGGCTTTTAGAAAATGAAATAATTAAGGGTCCCCTGAGCGTGAGCTGAGAGCTGTCTGTAGAAAAGCATTTAGAGGAAATAATTGGAGGGGAAATGGAAAATGTCAGTGTGAAGAGGTCTTTCTCCATTTGATACCCCTGAATGCTGGCTAGTTTAGACTTGGTAACTTGAGACCTCTTACCACAGAATGTATGTGTATATGCTGCAAATCCCGATCCTGTTAAAATAGTGTTGAGGCCCTGCTGTAACGTCTAGTCTCTTTTCTTGCTGTGTGGGTATTGGAAACCATGATAAAGAGCTATGGAAATAGTACCCAGAATAAGCATGGCTCTTCAGTGTGATTGTGATAAGGGCTGTTTTCTTGTCTGAGCAGTCATAAGAAGAAATTGTGTGTAGACCTACTGTGTACAAATACAATTATTGCTGTAGTGTGGACATGGCATATGTCACTGCTCCAGCTTGATACCAGGATGGTGGTGCAGCTATTGCTCAGCAGCTGCTCGCTGTGAATGTGAGTGCTGATGGCTTTCTCTCTGAGTGGATGGAAATCTGTGCAAGAACAAATGCTGATGTGCATGATGCAGACACTTCAGGAGAGGGGCTGGAGGCCCTGCCAGTGCTGATTTCCCTGCTCAGGACCTGCAGGGCTCCTTTCAAATTGTCATCA